ATCGTTATTTTCATTAGGAACAGTTGCGTTCCCTTAATTGATATCAATAGCGATAGCGATTAATTGATAGGTGGGTCAAATCACCAAGGTGACGAATTTGGAAATGCGAAATTTTGTAAAATCAGCTCGCAATAAATTCACATTTTTATTATTTATCCAGGTTTCCAAAGAGGCTGTGAGTATTATAACATCATTCAGGGAACATATTTCAAAATGAAATTTTTGTTAAAACATAAATTTGAGAAATCTTAGCTTGAAAATACGGTACTAAAATAAATATTAAATAAAACATATTCAAATCTACTGTCTACATTGTCTTATATTCTATTATTTTCATAAAATGTAACATTTATGAAGTACATCCAAAAAATTCCTAGACTAAAGTTCTGTTAATTTATCGAGGATCAGGTTTGAACGCTACTTGTTTTTTATAGACAATTGTATGTTATGGTATGTAATTTTATTAATGAATAAATCTGTTATAATTTGTCATAAATTAAATAATAATACTTTTGTTACGTTCCCGAATGACGAAACGTTTACTGAAAGATCGCGACGTTCACGAAACTAGAAAAGTGTTTCCAAAAATGACACAGGTTACTAATATTAGTATGAATAGAACATTTTCTGTTGCCTGTATTTTCTAGTTTTCTTTCCACAGAGCTCGTTGCCTGCGTTTCTCCCTTTCTGTCATATCATTTATAGTTTCTCGAAATGACCGTTCCCTAAACGATTTTTAAACGCTTTGTATTATTTTAAATGATCTTCCGCCATTTTGAACGCTAATATACAACAGTGACGGAAAAGGAACAGCATTATTTTAACGAGATTAAGACTAATTATGTTCATTTATCCTTATTTTAATGATTTTGAGGTGTTCCCATTACGATGTTCTATTGATGTACGGTATCAAAATCCGTCACTGAAATAGTCTTACCAAGAAGATTAATTAAAAACCGTCATAAAACAGCCGAACGCTGTGTACACTCAAAAAATTTAATCATGCGACTGCACAGTAGCGCCTTGCATCATTTAATTGGACACTGCTTTTTGACAGTATAGAGTGTGTTTACGAAGTGACATATAAGCTACCGGACAAAGTTATTCGTAAGATACATTTGAAGTTACTTAAATTTTCTTTAAATTAATTGTGCATAATACCTTAACACAAGTGTAGCAAACATGATAGAAAAAAATATTGCTAAATGAGTATTACATTGTTTTTATAAACATTTCAAATACGGAAATACGTATTGGGACGCATTCCTAAAATGAAATTTTAGAAAACTAATCAAGGGTTAAGATAAAATTAACTAAATCTGATATTTAAAAGTAATTGTAAAACAACAATTTCAAGGAAAATCAGAAAAAAATGGTTTCGGAGCCAAATTTCCAACTTTGGTGATATTGACCCAGGTATACCATAAAAGAAAATAGAAAATATATTCCTCACTTTTGGACATCTACGTTTTAAAACTAACAGTCCCAATATCCTGTCGCTATAATTGTCTGTGTTTATGATCGCAAGTCCTTTAGATCTTTATAATTTTTTAAAAGCAAGACCTGTTTACTGATCATGATCTTTAATTAATTCCTTAATAATATATTTTTGCTACATATAAAATTTATATACCTGCTCATGGATTATTTATTTTCCCTGTTTCATCTAAAATTTCGTATTGGTGTACAAATATTTTCATAGGTTTCCGGGCGGCCGACTAACTTCCCTCCCTTTTGAAAGGGTCTAGCAAAAAAATTTCACTCGTCGGTCGCTAGGCCAAATATTTGCCAACTGTATGAACACTGAAAAAGGTTTAATAAGTAACGTGCTGAATCAGAATTTATTTTACTATTTGTATAAGAAAATTTAAAATGTTCAATAATTTTCTGTCCAAATATAAATGGTTATTAAAAGTGTATCATTTAATGAAGTCTAATATCCAACATAATTTGAAAATAATATTCCTGCAAACCCAACGAGTTGAAAGGCGTAGCAGAGTCTCGTTAATTTGGCCTTTTGAGAAATCAAACATCAAAAGCTACGTTCACAGGTATGGACCGCTGGTAATTATACCTTCGTGTCACAAGCATGAGTTTCTGAAACAACATTTAAAACTTCCTAAAGTAGACATCATCTGTTTGCAAATAAATTCAAATTGTGTTCATCATTTTGAAATAGATTTATTTTGTCTCTGTACTTTCTGGATAATGAGCCAAGAGTGTTCCACTGCTTGACAAAGACTTTAAATTTTTTCGAGCAGATAATAAATATGTTTGACTACGGCTATACCCAAATTTTATCTCGAAGTCGATTCTTGATCGTAAAATCGATTGGTCCGAGTCCTGACCCTTGTGAAATCCCTAATGATGGCAATACATTTCTCTGGGGCGGCCCGTCCAATTCTTAAATAATATTTTAACATAACCTTAATGTGAGCTTAAGGCTTGCCTGATTACTGGAGCGTCACGTTCGACCCAAATCGTCGATAATTAATCATTTCGTGTGGGTATCGGATGGGGACGGGGATAAATTGCTGTGGCAAATTAAACAAATACCCGCGCGACAGTGATGTGGGATCTTTTAGATGAGATGGTGTTTGAAAATTGTAAAAGGGATTCATTAAAGTTGGTGTTTCGTTAGATCTAAGCTTTTAAATTCAGGGTGCAGATTGTTCAATAACTAAATTCGACGCAGACTATTGAACGGAATCGCTGTTTGTGCATCATTGTATTGTACAAATCTTCTAAGTGCGTATATTTTTTTAATTCTTACTGATTTAATTAAGTGTGTACCTATCAAATTATCTAAACAAAATGCATTAAGAACATCATTAATAAATAAATTCGGTAGTTAAATACAATGAAACTATGTTTTCGCTATTGTTTAAACTAATATAATTAGATGGAATATGAGTAAAACTACTTATTAAGTTATATCAAATAAGTCAAATAATCTTTATTAGGTTCTCATTAATTTAGAACAATATATAAATCATCTTTAAAAATCAACAACGAGACCCCCGTCGCGATGCGAGCGTCTGCTACCACGCGCATAATATCGCTTTAACTAAGTGGGTGATGTTTGCATTTTTTGATTAAAATATCCGAACTTTTATCAAAATGTTGACTTATATGGCTTTTTGTCAGGACTTGTCAAATTTTTAAATAGTAACCCTACCTACAATGTGAAGAGTTGGCGCTGCATTGCAGCTTAAGAATGGCTAGAAGAATTTCGACGCGGCCATCAGGGCCGCGGTAGCATAATTGGTCAGTGCATTCGCCCGGATAGCGAAGGGTGCGGGTTCAAGTCCCGTCTGCTGCCTGGTCCGCGTGGATCTTTTTCTAGTTATATTTTCTTTAGATTTAAACATCAAGCAGTTAAATTCATAAAAAATAAATATAATAACTAATTATAGTTTTGAAAAAAAAATAAAAAAAAATATACCTTTGATGCTAAAACTAGAAACAAATTAAGTGATATTATAACTAACTGTTGTTTATTTGTTAAAATATCTCATGGCTTGCACCTGTAATGACCCAGGTCCCTTAAAGTCATATTTGTATCAAGTAACTGAAACTTTACAATTGCTAAGATTACTCAACTCGTTATAGATATTGTTAGCAGCACAAATAAGATATACTCGTACATTAGACTAAAAACAAAACGTTATTTGTTTATAAAATATCTGTTCCTAGAGAGAAAATTCTGAGACTTTAATTAGAAATGAGAAGTTTTTTGTTCTGTTTGAGAGTTTGTTGGTATGCATAGAAATAAATTGAATTAAGATCTTAAAAGATTTCGGGGAATGTTGTTTGATAGAATTTGATTAATGCGATATCTCAGCTTGAAATTTAAGATAAATTCTAATTTAATTTTATTGTTTACTTGGACCATCTTTTGATGATGTGGATGAGAAAGGCTTAAGAAAGTTTCTGGTACTGGAATAGCGGGAGCTTTATTTATAAATTATTGGTGTATAACCTGTTTGAGATGATTGGTGTGTGCGAAATTATAATAACAATTTTCACGATAAATTCCAATTTATTTTTATTGACATCGTTTTTTATGTTGTTTTACACTAAAATATAACCAAGGAGATTTCTCAAATATTTTATTTAAATTTTAAATGGGGATTCTAATAGAAAAAAAAACACAAATTAACGCTTTAACAAAGGAAAATTTATTGTTGTTAGTCATTGATTTTGAAAAGTAATAATTTCCGCACATCACTTGAGAAAACTACTATACAAGCCTTAGCCACAACTAGACATTGATGGAGTTACGTATGTATGCCTCGGCTTGACCACGGCCCATATTCATTGTCCGTCAATACCTTTTTTGCTGGCAGCTGCAGTAATTTACTATAACAGCCGGGACATATTATAGGGTACCTATTTTTTTGAGCTCAACTTAATTTTGCTCGAGAAGAATTTCCAGCCAAGTATGTTAACGACAAGATATTCGTCCGTACAATGGTTGAAAAGGCAATCACCTCCCTAATTACCTTTCGGGTCGCCTAATCGTCTTACTTCCTTGACATTTCTGTAGCCAATTACATGAAGCGGTAGGATCACTTAATCAAATGAATATTTGACATTAAATGCGAACAAGGTAGGCTTCTCAGCTTTTTGTCAATATTGTTAAAATTATTAACTCATAATTTAGTCAATGAAGACTGTCGTAAAATTCGGAACGAACCACGTATTATTATTGTCGGTAATTTAAAAAGTCTGGTTAAACAAGTAAATGCCTCATCATGGCATGTAACCTACCGCCGTAACCTGAATGATCTCACCTTCAGCAGTAAAATGACAACAAAATAGTATCACTCTTCTTTACGTTTTTATATGGTTTTAAGATGTCTTCTTCCCCAGGGAGGTGCACCAATTTGACAAGAATCGTCGCTGTGTCCTCACCACTTTTGATTAAAAATAATCCAGTCGCAACATTTTAGGATAATTGAGGAAATCGGATAACTCAATAGATTACATTGTTTCAGGTGAAAGACATATGCAACGAGTTGGAAGTTAGAGTACTATGCCACAAGATACTACAGAACGTGTCGATACTTCTAGACGCAGATAGAGGATCCCTTTTCCTCGTGCAAGGTGAAAGGGCCGCCTCACCTCATCCTCAAAATGGCAGGTAAGTTTTATTGTAGACAAAAAATCGCTTTTCATTGTTTAATACCAGCTTCGGCGAGCGATTTGGATTTTCATTTAAGTTTTGTGCTGTGATCCATTGTGATAGAAAAAACGAGAAACTACGTCAATTAATTCCAAAGTGTTACAGATGAACCCTCACCAGGGTCTCACGCATCACAAATTGCTATCGTTAGATCTAAAATTCATACTTTTAATGAGTTTTGAGAATACCGCAGAAAAGTAGCAACAGCGGGGATCCACCGCAACCAGTATTTTTTTTTTACAAGTGGTCTATGAGAAAAGGTTTGCGTTGTTTCATGTTAAGAGTTTTGAGTGTCGAATTTTTTTGATTCTTTATCATAATAGTGCAGTCATTGAAGCATTATTGCTCCGAATTTTTTTACTGTGAACCGAATTGCATACAATTTTGGAATTAGGTTTATCTTACCCTTAACTTCAAAAGTGAAAATGATTTGAACTCCGCAACCATCCTGAGGGTGGTTGCCACCCCGTCTCGGGGGTGAATTTTATTTTTTTCAAAATAACATCGGATATCGATAGAAGGCCTAATTTTAAGCAAAAAATCATCTATAAAGTTTTTCAAAAAATCCAATACTTTTCAAGTTATTGGCAATTGAAAATTCGCAATTTTTTCATGTTTTTCATCGGTTTTTGCAAATATCTCCAAAAATATACGTTTTTTCGAAAATTTTATAAAGAACAAAATTGTAGCAGGTAAAACAATGAACAATTTGGTTTTTTATAAAGTATTCTGAATGCAAAATTAAGCTAGATATTAAAGATCAAAGCCGTTTTTTATTTTGTCTGAAATTTAATCGATGTGGTCAATGCCATCTAGCGGCGAGCAGATGAATTTTATGCATTCTAATACAAAAGGGTTTGGTAGTGCTTGAAATAAGCTTTAAAATGAGCACTATTAAAAGTCTTTTGCACGTAAAATAAGTGAGCTGTATTGCAAATAAGGGGAGCATCTAATGTTTTTTCTTTTAAATCAATGGGTTCCATTAGTGCCATTTCCACCATAATTAAAATTAATCGTATTCCGCCTAAAATTAACTTTATTATAAAGAGTTTGATAGATAGTATCAGTTTGGCTGCTTCAGGATACATATTTTTCAAAAAAGTCACGATTTAAAACAAAAACAAAATTTCAAATTTTTAAAAAACCCACTTTTTTTTCATAATATCTCAAAAATGACGACAGATACGTATAAAAGTGTATGGATTAAAAATTTATTAATTGTCTTACAAACAATTTTGTTTTTTTGTTTTTTCTGTCAAACAAAAATTGACGGAGATATGATTGTTTAAAGAGCGCGTGGCACCGCAATCACAGCCTCTCTTAAGCCCTTTAACCCTTCACCGTTTTAGAAAAAGGTTTTTTACTATATATTGCAATGAAGGATGTTGTAGCTCTCTTAATTACCTTTACAATGGTTTTTTATAAATTGTGATAGCATGAAAATTGAAGGAGTTATGGTCCAAAAACTTATCATATTTTTTTCTACTTAGTAACTGAAAATTTCGGAGTGTGAATATTTGGAGCAATGTGAAAGTACGCAGTATAATAGAGACCCACAACTATTGTAATGTGTATATATACATAATATGGCTCATATATTTTGGAAACGTAGGCATGAATACATACCAACGTTCTTATATGTATATATTATAACACATTTGAGTGAAGGGGCCAACGAAAAAGCATTTTAAATTTAACAATTTTTTATGAAGGGGTAGTTTTCAAGGGTTAAAAGGGGGTTAAAAATTTGATAATTATTATAGAGAATATAATATATTTATTACTTATATTTACATCTGTTTATGTCGTACAAAGTATTTTTTTGTGATTTTTTCAATTTAGGGGTTGTTTGCAAGGGTTGTAAGATTTTCAAGGGGTTGAAAATGATTTTAATATGAGGTAATTATGTTAGAAAATACTTTACAATTTCACCACTTACTATTAGACATGTTTTTTAGCGATAAAATGGATCAATGTCAATTTTTCCATTAAGTGGTTGTTTATACCCCTTAAAAATAATAGGCGGAGTTCAGATCATTTTCACTTTTGAAGTTAAGGGTAAGATGAGCCTAATTCCAAAATTTCCTGCAAATCGGTTCACAGTAAAAAAATTCGGAGGTAAGACTGTATTCTTCGCTTCAATGACTGCACTATAATTACAATTGGTCTGAACATGCTCTAGTTAGTTATAACATTGCTCTTTTACTTCATCGAAATCAATCAAATTGCTGTATGGATGCTAGTCAGTTTTTGCGCTTATGTGGTTTGTCCTTATTAAAAAAGTTTCATTGTGAACTCTCTCCTTTTGTTTCACGTTCACTTTGTACAAGTAAAAGGATATTCCCATTTACTACATAAAAAAATGCCCCAGGCAATGGACAAAGATTAACATTATAGAAAAAAATTAACATCATGTCAACAAAACCCAAAACATTCAATAAATGCAAGTGTAGAATAGAGAAGAATAAAATTTTGTAGTACACAGTTTAAATTGTTGCTCTCGAGTAAGGAAACGCGGAGTAACACTATTAACTTAAGCATATACACAAAACTGCAAAATAACATGAAAACATGAATAGGAATAGGTTTTGAATAGGTATATTGTAATATCCCTTACGATATGCACTTAGAGTAACGATTGAAAATGATTAAATCTCTGATTGAAAAATCGAATTAATCAATTGACTCTCACCAAAGTTTATCGATAATTTGGCGTGGCGCCTTGATTGCGCTCGTCAAGAAACTATTCTTGGACGAACAAAATGGAAAACCGGCGCATTGAGACGTCGAAATGAGTATCTGCATTCAATTGCAATTCCGTGCCATAATCAGGATTTATTGCGGAGATACCTGTTTGCATTTTATGATTCACGTAAGGTCTGGTTCACCTCGGTTTATAACCTCGAAGAAAGAATCTCTTCAAATTAAATACAGGAGTTTTTTATTTGAGTTTGTACTTTTCTGGTTCTGACTTTATGTTAAGTTAATACGCGTTTGTTACTACTTTGGCTAATACTGTTTTTAATAATTCACTTGAATTGACAATTTCATTTGAATCACGACCGAAAATAACAATTTGCAATGCGAAATAGTTATATCCTTTGTAGGGTTGAAAGAATAGATTCAACTGATTGTCCCGGAAACCAATGCTGTTTCGAAATTTGAAATAGCATTATAAAATAAAAATGTATAGTTTAAAACCGAATCAAAAGTGATTTAAAACGAGTAGCCTTCGCGTAATTTAAAACGTTCATTACATTGCAGACTATTTAATGAATAAAATTAGTTAAATTGTTTTTGCCTAATTCACTTACACGTGATCCAATACCAAAGTTAGCGGCTGATACTAACAGTTTCAATTAGGTTTTGTGACCGGATGTTTTCTCCCAGGATATTGGTTAACAGTCGCTAGCTGTTGGAGATAGTTTGTTTAAAATACCAGGACGTACTTTAAGTGTTATGGACCGACTTCATTCGCTTAAACCTTTTCAACGCTCAGGACTACTGAGTTATTTCCTTAAATGTCATATTTTAAAATGTTTGATTTCTTATAATATCTTCATTCTTAAAAATGTTTGATTTCTAGAAAGTATCTTTCCTATAATGTCAGTTTCCTAAAATGTGATTTTCCCAAAATGTGTGCTTTCTTATAATTTCTGCATTCCTACAATGTCTACCTGCTTAAAATGTCTGCAAGGAAAACGTTGATTCTCCTGAATGAGTTCCACGAATATCGTAGGAGAATAAAATTTATTGTTCAATAATGTTTGTATGCAATCTGACCCAAAGATTAATATACCAAGGATCTCCAAGTCCCAATAAGATCGTCCCGTGGGTGGTGGTACTACTGAGAATGACTTCACGGGTGAATCTGATTAAGTGATTTCCTATGAAATTGCGGATTTTCATGAAATAATTTAACGCCCTTTTTTATTTTTGTTATGCAACAACTTCCTCAAAGGCATTTTGAACTGCCTCGCGGTTATTTAATTTATTCCACGCTAAGAAGTTATCCAAAGCCTGGAAAAAGTATAAGTCTGTAGAGGTAAGGTCTGGTGAGTACGGTAGATGACGGAGAACTTCCAACCCCAGATCTTGTAATTTGGAGACCGTCTGCTGTGCAGTATGATCGTTGTCGTGCCGGAGCAGCGGAGCCGAACTCTTAACCAAAGCTTGTTAGAGATGTGCGAGCTTCTCCATCATTGTGTTCAGTTTTTCACAATACACATCTGCAGTAATGCTCATCCCGTTTGGTAAGAAGCTGTGATGAATGACACCGGCGCTAGACCACAAAATAGTGACCATCACTTTTTAAGGGGTAACTTTTCGTTGGCGCGGGGTGGCTTTGTTTCAGTGCTGAACCAGGATCTAACCAACTTGCTGAGCGCTTGCGATTGTCGAACAGAATCCATTTTTCGTCGCAAGTAACGATGCGACTCAATATGCCTTCGTTTGTGTGCCTGTTCAGCAGTGCAAAGCTTGACTCGACGCATACTTCGCGCTGGCAATCATTCAGTGAAGCACCCAATTGTCAAGCTTTTATTACCTTGCCAATTTGACGCAAATGGACCAATATCATATGGTGGTGCGATCGGTTATAGTGTTCGCTCCGTATAGTTCGTTGATGTTGCGTGCCGTTTCTGCCGCTTTGCTACCACGAAATGGATATATTTTTTAAAAGAATTCTATATCTTAAATATACAAGTAATTTGAACTTAGATATGAAGCAGTTGTTTTGTGATTATCGTATAAATTAAATGGTAGATCATCATAATCGATGGACGTCCACTGCTGGACAAAGGCCTTCTCTAGGGATTTCCAAATACAACGGTTGTTCGCTTTCCGCATCCAGTGGGTCCCCCCCATGGTCTGAGGAGTCTACCGGCACTGCGCTTCCTGGTGCTAGGTCGCCATTGAAGCACCTTGGGATCCCAACATCTGTCGGTTCGCCGGGGTGC